CACTAGGGTCAAGTCTAGATACAAACTTGAATATACCTCTGTACTATTTGATAAAAAACACCCACGTTCTAGCTTTTGGTGCTAATTCAATACCTTTTAAAGGCACTCAATTAATTTAAAACATAAGAAAAAAAAAAAGAGACATGTTTGGTAAAGTGATTAGTTCAGACTCCAAGAGCAGACAAAAGACAGAGTAGAGAGAAGAGTCTAGAGACTGAGGTATAAAATTACAGATAAGTACCAAATACACTCAGCAATTTCTTAGCAGAGAACGTAATAAGGATTTTAAACAGATGACATTTGCATTTGCAGTAGTCAGACTGACAGAACAGATGTGCTAAAACCCATTAAAAAAAGCCCAAATCTGAAAGCCTTGTCAAGGTTTGTTAGGGACACGATTTACACGTCTGCAAAATGAGCTCAACAACGTCTCTCTCTGAGAAACAGAAGTGCATTTTGAGAAAGAAAATGAAACACATTCACATTGTAAAAAAGTGAGGGAGTTGATATAATCTACTTCATAATTACCTGCATTTTGAAAGTGAGTAGAAAAAGGTATATAAAAATAGTACATGGTTATTTTAAAATTACTCTTTTCATGGCCCTCTGATTCTACTTTCAGTAAATGTCAGGGAAGTAAGGAGCCTTGCTGAAGCCAGCTGTCCCAAAAGGACTCTGTAACACCTTCTCTCAGTTTGGACAATATCTCTAGTTTCCTGGGACATCAGGCAGTTGTCTGTAATGCTGGGCAATTAGGTCTTCAGTTTGCACTTGAGTGAATAATTTCCTTCCAAGTTTGTGATTTATTTTCCACTGCACACATTTACTTTAGATCCTTTACTGCCTTCTTCCAACCGCAGTAATTATGTATCTACCTGTGCTGAAAAATCAAGGCTTGATTACAGAAAAAATTAATGGAGGCTCAGAGAGGCTTTTGAGTAGGTCAGATTTTAATGGAAAAGGGAGAACCAGTGAAAAGAAACCCCAGAACTTTCTGCCTGACAGAGCTGTGGCTTCTCTGCTGGCAGACCAAGTTTGCTGTCCTTCTGATGATATTGGAAAGCTCCAATGTTTCCAGTCTGAGTTATGAGACAGTCTCAAATGAACAGCAGTAACCCTCCACAATTAATGTTATGCTCCTATCTCAGGGGACAAACAAAAACAAACTGGGAGGCAAACCCAGCTTTTCCTCAGAATTACTCTGTTCTCCAAAACAGAAAGGTATAGTCTTTCAGTCTAGCTCTAAATTTCCCAACTTTTCTATTTGTCTAGATTTTAGGTTTACAAATCTCTTATCAAGCAGCAGTATTAGGAGACATAAATGTAAATTTTGATGAACAATCACTTCACAAACCAAAAAGGTAAGAGAATATAGTCTGGGCAACAAAAGCAAATTTGGAAAACACATTACCAGTCTAAGGACTTTTTAATGGGTATATATTCACATTGCTGATTATTCAAGCAATTACAAAATATGACATTCAGATCTCAGGTTTCTTTAACTCAAATACATTCCAATTGTTTGCTTTTACCATCAAAAGTAAATTTCAGGGGATTAAGTTTCAGAACTTCAAGATAATTAAAGCTGTCTTGCTCTTTTTGCAACTACAAACATCACCTTTCAGAAATATAATCTATGCTGAATCTTGAAAGTTGAGATCACTTGAAAAACAGCGCACATTTTGATATAATGACACCAAAAAGAAGACTTTATGATAAAAGACTAAATCTGTCTCTGGATTAAATTCACTTAGCAGCAATTTCTAGAAGTCCTCTATTTAGTTGCAAACTCATGCAGGAATCAGTCCTGTGAATAGTGCCTGCAGATTACTCTATTAGCCCCCAGAGACCATAGACCAGGGCACTAGTTCTTACTTAATCCCTACAGACTGTGCACACCCTCTACAATAATAATCAATACATCCTCACTTTATGCTGGTGTTCTCTAAAACAGTTTAAAAATAAATTCTCAGGAAATATATCTATATATCTCTATTTATATATTAGATTTCCAGATACATGCAGATCGGTGGATCAACTGCTCAACAGTATTTTCCTAAACAGTCAAACATACTGAAATTTCAGTGCAAAAAAGTGCAAAATATGATAGAAGGAATTTCAAAAAAAGAAGTATAAAAGAAGCCTTTTGTACTTCAGTTTTTCACAGTCTAATGGATTTGCCTTTCTTGCTTTATATTCTATGCATTTTGCTATTGATCTTCATAGTAAACCAAAAATGTTGGCACATGGTTAGGGAGAGTGGCTCTGCAATACAGAGTTGCATATCAAAAGCCAGCACTAGAACATCAATACTAATTTTTAAAATTCATTTCTATTGCTCATGCCTACAGAGAGTCCTCAAAAAGAGGAAAAGTGTGACATTTCTAACTTCACAGAACAGAGTGTCTAGAATGCTCCATTCTTTTAAAAAAGAGAGTTTCAATATAGAGAGTACTCTGTCTGGAGTACTCTTGGAGAACTCTAACTTCTCTATAAGGTATTCTGTGCTCAGCAGGATATAAATAAATCCTCACTCTGAAGAAGATACCTCTGCAGTCACTTATGGCTCTCCAGAGGAAGTAAAAGCATTTTTCTCATCTTGGAGAATAAAAGCCCCAGAGTGTTTTGTTGGCCTGATTGAGAAAAAGACTCAGAAATCAGTTGGTTATGTCTTTGGGGTTCCAAAACAAAAATTATGACATAGCTGTTTCTTTTCCTTTTTTCTTTCATTTTTACTTGCCGGACTAAATTTTATGTGCTTAGATGTCTGAATGCAAGTTATTAAACACTTAACTGATAACCATTAGCATTCCCTGATGCATGGCTTTACTTCTTCAGCAGGTTAACCTATATAACTGTTGCTTTCATAAAACTCTTGGTGAAGTTATTATTAGAGCAGACGTCACATTCTAGAGACAAAGGTGACATTTCGAATCTACTGATAAGTCCTTGTACATTTTGTGTAGGAAGATTCTAGATAATTTTATGGCCCCAGCAATAGAGAAAAGAGATATAGGGGGTTCTATTTTACCTTTTTGATAAATGGGAGATAATCCCTTTTGGCTATTAAAGTAGTTTAAACATATATTAATTTTTAGCTATTCTGGCTCTAGGCTCTGGATTTGTCTGCAGCCACGTTAAGTTCTGGTAAATTTTGTGCTGAGATCTTAAAGGAATATCTACATGAGAATGTAATAGCTGGCTGCTATCACGAGAGTAAAGTCTACAAACAAAGACTCTATGCTCTTAAGGGCAAAGAAAAAAACCTTGCATTTTACAGATGAGCACATGTTCAAATATCCAAAACATTTTCTCTACCTTGCATGGCTTCTTTATCCTGCTGCCATGTAGTTCAAAGATTTTTCCATCTTAATATCTGGAGACTATTTTCTAACAGGAACTACTAGATAGTTTGGTATTTTCTTAATAAGTAGGATAAGTAAAGTTTATTGTTCTTTAAAATCAAGACATCAAACCAGTTTTCTTCCTTGTTAAGTTCACTACAAAAAAGCCCTGGAAAAAGACGTATGACATACATTACTATATGCTCAGTGACCAGCTGTTTTAAATTTGGGTATTAAGTAATTCACTCTTTGCTGTGTGCAAGAGCTGAATGATTTAATAAATCCCCATATGCCCCAACATGTGCCAGCTATACTGGGTAATCAAAAATCCAGCTGTTGTTATGATAATAGCTTCCAATTCTAAAACTACTGAAGAGAATAATGAATCAACTTCAAGTCAACTAAGACATAAACTGACACAGTTCCACTTAAGATACGTGGGAATACAATACATCTGTTAATTAAAAACTAACACTGATCCATAGTCACATGAAATTTAGTGCCAAGAATTCATGGGCATTGTTTGTGGTGGAAAATTAATGCAAATCAACCTGTATGAAGACAAGCAGCCCCGTTTCCATCAGTTGTCCTAGATGCATAGGAATGTCCTATAAATTACACATTCAGTTTGCAAAACAGATTCTATTGTGTCACAGTTGGCTTTCTTTCTTACATATTTTAATTCCCATGCAGCTATTAGATGACATGTTTTACATAGCTAGACTTCTCAATTTTTCAATTATCACAAAAAACCTGATTATGAAAGTTTGATTGGTTTGATGTACCAGTATTTTAATGCAAGGTAAGAGTCAAAGGTACAATGTCACTGCCTTAAGTCATTGAACAAAAACACAAACAAAGAAAGCAGAAAGAGAGAAAGTAGCCAAACAAGGTGTCAGAAATTATTCTCCAGACACATGGTTTTTTGATAATCAGTGCAGAAATACCCATCAAAATATGTCACTATTAACTTTTTAAAAGCTAAGAAAATACTTTCTTGGATATGAAATTATTACTTATAGTTACAAATGCTTTGCAGGTAGATACAACTTTCATCTTGGTGTCAGCATAAGCAAATACATTAATGATACATTCTTTCATTTCTCACAATTAGCTGTGTTATTAAGGGAAATAATTTTGAAATTAATCTAGAACTCATCAGTCCCCTAAACAAGATTAGAGTACTACTATATTGATGCAAATTTACATAAGATATAGGACATAAAATACTTATTAGAACAAACAAACACAAAACCAAGCCATTTACAATTGCTGGAGCTGGATCATCTCCGGTACACAAAGTGTGCAATGCTCTAAAGCCGCATTAAAGACAACTTCAGTAACTCCAACTTCAAGCAATCTATATATAGTAGTTTATGTATAAAAAAATCATTTAACAATGCATTTTTTCAAAAAAGTTTGGGAATATATTGACAAATTAAAAGCATGTCATGCAGAGATTTAAGATGCTTATAAAAGCTTGAGCCCAACCACATCAAGGGGCTTACAGAAAACTCAAAGACTTTGAAAGCTTAAAGGACCTCATTTTTTTCATACCTTAATTATGAAGTTGCAAATAATTGTGTTTTCAGCCACATGTTCTTGACATTGCAACAAACCCAACACTGTCATTTTCTCAATTATTAGTAGACTTACTTTTCTTTAAGGAAATCCACTACTTGTTTGAAGTCTGCCACACAGTATTCTCTTTTCATGTCCATGAGCACACTGTCAGAGGCTGACTGGACTGGTATGTGCAGAAAAGCATACACTCTTGGATGATTGAGAATCTTGGCCATTTCCTGAGAGTTATTAAAAGAAAAAGAAGCTTTAAAGCATTATGAAAATAATACAGAAAACTCAGATTAATATATGGGGTAAGTATCAGCAGTAATACTTCTAAAACCCAAACAATACTAAATTGCCCCAGCCCAGTTTGAAACAGTAGGGACAGGTGCAAATATCTGAAAGCAATTTTTTTTAGGAGAAAATAAGAAGAAAGTGATGAAATCAAATCTCCTTTGAGATAGGGATCACATTCCCTATGTTGTATTGATTACGCAATTAAAAGAAAATTTTAGAGGCAAAGTATTATGAAAATTGGTGATTTCAGACAGTGGCTGTTTTCAGAAGATGGCAAGGGTTAGTTGCTTTCTTGTTGGAATGAAGTAACTTCTCAGATACCAAAATGAGAATGTCTGTAACTGGAGCATCCCTAAAGTTGGCCAGTTGCTAATTAAGGTACACCTCATCACTTGCAAACATGCTCCAATACTGGTCTGAAATACTGCGTGTGTTACATCAGAGAAAAGGACTGAAATTAAAAGTGCTTGGCTATAATTTGAGTATAATTAATCAGGGGGCAGCTTAAAACAGGATGTGATACAAATGTAGATTGTACAAATGCAGAAGGTCAGGGGAAGAAAAAGTCAAGGTAAGAGCGAAACAAGGTAGGAGCAAAACCAAACCTCCTAATGAAAGTGAAACCAACCTCCCAACAGAGGCTTGGCAAGGAGAAGGAATGTGAGACAGAGAATAGAATATGATGGTCCGGTTTCTCTCATTTTTATTATTTAACCAATTAAGGACATACAGTCAGGCAAGAAAGTTTAAGTATTTCTTAAATTTGAAACCAACCAGCACTGAGATTGCATGCAATATGGTATCATACTGCTTGTTAATTGTTGTCCTGCAACAAATAAGTGAACTTGGACAAAGAACCATATTCCATGAACAAGCACATCTTCACATAAGGTTTTTGATCTTCCCTTTCTCCCTGAGCTGTGGGCATACAGGAAATGGCCTGGGACTGAGCACTGCTCTTCTGCCAGTGCATTCTGTGTGCTCGAGTCAGGCTCACTCAGGCCACTCCTCCTGTTTTCTCTGATGGCACAGATACTCTGGCTGACAACACATACTGTTGCCATATTTACTTTTTAAGCTGCAACTATTTACAAATTCTTCCAGGCCATTAATCAGCAATATTAGTCATGCATCTAGATTTTCTCTCTGTATTTCTAAAAGGCTGCCCTAGATTGTTCAAAGAGAAGGCAGACATCCTTATGCCTTTTCATTTGCAGGAGCTCAGTTTTTAAAGCACTGATTTTTGGAACAAGAAGAAAAAAATGCTCTCTCGATACTCACTTTTTATCTGACAAACAGATGTGTACAAAACCCGAAACTCTATCAAATCACTTCTGGAACCAGTTTTGAAAGTTTCTGTCCAAGATCCTATTACATAAATGTCTCAGAGAAGTGGTTACATTATTCAAGGCAACAGCTACTCCATCTCAGGCATGTAAACTCAATTTAATACATAGAATTGCACACAATTTGATACACAGAAAGGCTGTGTGCAGTGAACCTGGCTCTCAGTGGAAGCTGGAGGTAGCTGGCCTCATGAAAAAAGAGTGAAGAAAAGGCCACCATGCATCCACACAGATTTTGTGTCCAATTTAAATGGAACTATACTTATTTGTGTCCTTAATAATTGTAGATGTTCAGCTAGAACATATTTTCAAAAATGAAATTGTACAGAACAAGTACCTAAAAGTGGGAAACCTTCCTTTTTTAAGCTTTAGAAAATCTTGTGAATGTAATTTATATGAAGCATCCTTGTAGTCATCTGTGACTTTTCTGTTTATCAGTAATCAAATATGTTTCTAAAATATGAAAAATATGAGCTGAAAATTAAGCTATGGACTACAAGCCTATTATTCTGCTTATCTCTTGGTTCCAAATACCTGATTCAGTTTTCAAAAACAGATGTATGATATAAGGAATGAACGAAAGTCATGTTTCATAACGTGCTTCTAAATCTGCCAAGTTCTTGAAAACAACTCACCCTATGACATAGGAAAAAATATTCTTTGCCATTCCTCTCAAATTTTGCATCTTCTGAATAACAGACTCTTACATATGAGATCAGTCTGTGAATTCTTTTTGAGAGTAAGAAATCATTTAAGTGTTATTTTAGTCCAGCTTTTGTAAGGCTGAGAATCATCTGATAGAACAAAAACCCAAACAGATTCACTGTGTCTGTTTGTGATAGAAATATTCAATTTTAAAAATATCTTATTGTTTATAATATCTTATTATTTAAAAACCTATCTTGTTTTACCACAAAGTTTTGATTTTTAAAGTCACAAATGTAGAAATAGCAAATGTTGGTTTTATTTCTCATATTCACCTTAAACAATGAAAATGTTATGGTGAAGTGTGAAGAATGAAAATCAAATTCTAAAATCTCAATAGGGTTTTCCTGCTCAGAGGATTCAAAAAAACCAAAGCACCCAACCAACCCCAAAGCGACTAGCTGCTGGTCTGACAGTAACATGCAGAAGCTGGTCTCACAGTTAATCTCTTTCAGGGGGATGTGGCCAAGAGGGAGCTTTTGACCACACTTCCTGTAAGAGGAACCAAACCAATGGTGTCCACCAGCCAGTGTTAAACAAGACTGATCAGAATTCCTTCTTCCAGTTATCCCCCATGTAAAGAAAGAAAACACATGTTTTGTGCGATCACTGTTGTCAATAACTTTCAAGATTAAGAACACAACTGTTGTCATTTAAAGTAATTACCCATGGTTCTGTACCAATGGGATGCAAAATGCCTGGCATTAATTAACTGAACTTTTCAACTATCCCTACAGATCCCTGCATACAGAAAAGCTACAGATGTAAGCCCAAAAACATTATTGACTATTTCACTGCATCATTTTGGTTCAGAAAGATACTCCATATCAAAAGAACTGGCATTCTTTAGAAAGTAACTTGCTTGCCTTGTGTATCAGAGATTCACATGCAACACACACATGGTCTGTCTGGGAACACTAACACAGCCTAGCTGCTGTGGTCAAGGGTTTCAGGGATCTTATGGACAGTCAAAGCTCCTTCTAGAGATGAGGAGGTTGCAAACAGCTCTTTACACTGTGAACTCCTTTCTTTACTTGCTTTCTGTATCTAAAGCTACACAAAATGCACTGCATGTGCTTTGAATCAAAGATCCTACTGATAAACTGATTTCCCACCAGGTACTTGAGGATTGTAACGATTAACTTTGTGAATTTAGCACAACACAAATTATTAACACAAACCAAACACAAGAAACACCTGATGACCCACTGTTTCATTGTCATTCACTTCTAAGTACTGCTGGTGGTCTCAAATTTACCTTCCATAACCAGAAACTCTGAGTGAGCCATTCAGAAGGAAAAAGAATAATGAATTAAACAAAAGCTTTGCACGATTGCATCAGAAATCTGGATAAATCAATCTTCCAAAGTTTGCACTGTTCAGATAGAAATATCACATTCTGACCTGTAGCTTTAAGGCAAGACTGTTCCAGTCTTATCTTTCATCCTCCCTACCACTAAAACAACACTGAAGTTCTTTGCCACATAGGTTTGATCAAATTACAACTACTCTGCACTTAACAGTCATACTTAGTCAATGCTGACAGATTTTCCCATACTACAGATTGCACATAGAATATCAGATTTCATCACTGAATAAAACTATTAGTTAATATCCTAAAGAGTATTTGAAGGACATCACGGGCTAATGCATATTTTTACTTCACCATGTCTCAACATCCTAAGCTTAACATCTATTTCTTGTTGGTTTTTTATAATTATATACATTTATTTTTTTTCTGAAGTGCTCTGCATTACTAGGTATAATTACATATTTCAGTTAGAAAAAAAACAATCAAGAATTTTATTTCCATCTGGAAATAATAAATGAACAACATTTTGAAAGTATATCACTGTGAGAGAAACTTTCTGTCTTTCATCATGACTGAAACGGCTGATTACCTTTTCTTGCTATTCCCTGGAATCTGATAATGTGTCTATGAATGAAGGGATGCGCTACACAAAAATGAAATATCATGTAGGAACTAAAAGGTCAAAAAGTAGCACAATTTGTTTTAACCTGACTCTACAAAAATAGGCGTCATCTACATTTGGAAAATAACAATGTATGTGAAGCATCCTTTAGGATACTGATCACATATGAAATACTTTTTCCAGTCCTTAGCAGCTGGAGTACATTAGAACACAAAGCACACTACTAGAAAGATTTCTATCTAGTCAGTGTACTTTATCCTAGCAATTACAATACACAAATTTAACCACCTAACCAGAAAATCACACCTACTGTTTGCAATGACACCATGTGCAACCATAGAAAATTGCAGAGACAATAAACATCAATATCTGTGCATCTTTATGTCAGTACCAGCAAGCTGTTCAGACAGCAATTCTTTCCCCTTACCTAAAGCAGGCAAAAATCCAAGTATTTGAATTCTGTCTTGTGTTTGAGTCATGATAATACGAACAGCTTGCTTGCTAGCAAAAGGATTTTGTCCTCTGCCAGCAGTGAAGCCCAAAGAAATCCTCGTCCATATGGAAACATGACAAAATGGCACTCCCTCAAAACTTCATCCCTTTGTGGCAGATATTACTTTGGGATATGTCACGAGGGGTGTCTGCTGACTGTTGTCTTTCAGAAGCTGAGCGGTGCTACCACCAGCACAGTCTGGATGAAAATCAAGTGGCTGTGGCCCATTTTATAAATTCCTCTGCTGCAGTGCAGCTCAGGAACAGATGTGATCTTGTGATGCAGGCATGGGAATGATGACACAGTTATGATCCAGTCTGGAAAACCCATAGCAGCTTTGTTAAAACAAATGAACAGAGAACTCTCCCCCACTTCCCACCCCCTGTGAGCAATGGGGCTTTAAAAAGCTAAGAACATGTGGGATGTCCCTGAGGACACTGGTTGGAAGGCAGTGCCTCTCC